AACATGGAGAACATGCAAACATGCATGATCTTAAATCATTTTCAAAGCTTTAATGCTGTTTCAAAAGAGCTCAAACCTTCAAAAACAAGATGAACTCATGGAGTATGACCAAAAGATGGACATGCATGTGAGGAAACATGGACTACAACCTCAAAACTTCAATATATGTACATGCATGCAACAATTAAGCCACAATTCAACATCTAAACCATGTTTTGGCTCTACACTCCATCAATATGACATGAACCATGCAAGAATCAACTTAAAACATGAACAAGAAGACAATGGAGCTACCTTTAGTCTTGTAGTTCAAGAAGGGAGCTCAAATATGTAATCTACCCTTCAACAATTCTTTAATTTCCAAGCAATTCACAAGGTAGAACTCAATTTCTCTCCCTCTCCCTCTCTTGGTCGGTTAAGCACAAGAAATGAGCTGGAGCAATGTTTTGATTGAAGTGTATACAAGGCTCAACATGTGTGAAGTAGTGGCCACTAAGTGGTCTAATGGTAATTAAGTCCAACTCTTTAATTAGCTTAATTTAATCTAATTTAATCATACCTAATCAGTCTTCAGGTAAATACACCATAAAATCACATTAATCATGAGGATCATAAAACACTAATCGGTTTCTAATTCGGCCGCCGATAAGGCCTTCAATTAGCAGTTTAAACATATAAACATGAACAGATAATCATACAGTCAACAGATAAAATGCAATTCAAACAGAAGTATTCATTCCATTCAGTTTCAATTTCGGTCAGTCAGTTCAGTACTTTTAATCAGTTCAATTATCAGTCATGATCAATTCAGTTTCACGGTAATCAGCGTTTATCGGTAACTAATCAGTCATTAATCGGTAAACAGTATGAGGGTTGTTACATTTGAAAAGAGATAAAGGTAAAAAGTTTTGAAGAGAGTCTTAAAAGCATTCATGTTTTAGGATTTTGAAAGAGAGAATGAAGGAGATGAGGTGTTTCTGAGGGGAATAGATGAGGGAGAAGAGGAAAAGAAGGGTGGGTTTCTAGGGAGAAGAGAGGTTTTCTAAAGAAGGTAATGAGAGAGGGAAAAGTAATGTTTGATTAGAGAAACAGAGACAGAGTCGAGAGACAACTCTCTGTTTTCAAAGATTCTTTCTTGGAAGTTGGAATATTCATAAATTATATAACTTTATATTTTTTTTATTTGTATATATTCGATCGGGCCAATTTCAACATGTTGGTGAAATAAAAAAACCGACGCCGACCGTTAATTCGATAAATTGCTATGCACGGAACTATTGCCGACCGCTTCTTTATTCGAAATCAACCACAAAACGTCAGGTCCAGGCGGGTCAGTTAGATGGGTCAGGTTCTGTGGTTTCGTGCACACCCTTAACCCTTATTTCTATTGTGTTCCTTATCTTTTTTTCCTTTTGTGCTAGAAAGATAAGGTACACAATATATGAGAAACAAATTTTGGATAAATTTTATATGAAAATCTTTTTTATTTGGAAAACATTTCAAACAGAATACAAAAATAACTTAAACTATGGGATTCTTCAAACATTCTAAAAGGATGTGGGATTTTTCAAACATTTCAAAAGAAGTACAAAAACTACTTGGTAAGTTTTGGCTAAATGTATAATTTCAAAATGTAATACTCCAATGTAACACTTCAATGTAACACTCAAAAAAAAAAATACTCATTACTGTACTTTTCTCAAACGTAACATTTCAATATAATACTTCAAAAAATTTCTTAATATAACATTCTAATATAACACACAAATTTTTTTTCTTATAATGTAACACTAAAAAAAACTTCTCAATGTATTTTTTTTTTCTCAAACGTAATACTCTAATACAACACTCAAAAAAAACTTATTAATGTAACACTCTAATGTTGGTGTGTTTTTTCCAAATGTAACAGTCTAATATAATAATCCAAAAAAAAAAAAATTTTGCGTAACACTCTAATGTAACAGATACAAAAACTCATTAGTGTAACATTTTGATGAAATACACAAAAAAAAATTATTAGTGTAAGATTTTAATGTAACACAAAAAAACAAAAAAATAAAAAAATAAAAAAATAAATCTATTTGGTATACTTTTTCCAAATGTAAAGTTCTAATGTACCAAAAAAAAAAAAAAACTTCTAGTCTACTTTTTCTAAACGTAACACTCTAATGTAACACTTAAAAAAAAAATAAAAAAAGAATGTGAGATTCTTCAAATCATTCTAAAAGAAGTACAAATATTTCTTACTAAGTTTTGGCCAAATGTATAATTTTAAACTGTGAGTGTTACGTTTGTAAAAAGTACATGTGTTACATTGGAGTATGTTACATTAAAATGTTACGTTTGGGATTATACTAGTTGAAGTGTTACGTTTGAAAAAATTATACAAAGAAATTTTTTTTGTGTGTTACATTGGAACGTTACGTTTGGAAAAAGTATACCAAAAAGTTTTTTCTTAGTATTACGTTGTTACATTTGAGAAAAATATATCAGGGAGTTTTTTAGTGTGTTATATTGAAATGTTACATTAAGGTGTTAGGTTTTTTGTTCGTAATTTGTTCTAGAATGAGAGAAAATCCAAAACTTCTATAGCACAAATTGTCTAAATGTATAATTTTGCATTTTAAGAAATCCATTTTTATTCTTAAAAAATTAAACCCAAACATATAAGTAACTATCCTTTTATATAATTTATACTTTAATATAACCTTTAGGATCATAAGAAAAAAATGAGAACTAAACAATTTACAAAGATCACATTTTAAAATTTATTTGTGTTTCACCATTTAAAAAAACAAAAAAGCTTTTAAACATTTGAGGATATTTAGGATATTTGAGAATATTAAAAATATTTGAGGATATTGGAATTTCATGTAATTCTCGGAGGCCAGGTTTGCTTGTAACGCTAACTGGGTGAACATGTCGACGCGACCCCTTCCCAAATTTTATTCTTCTGCTGGATTTCACGATAAGTGGATTCAATTTTTTAAAAATTTAATTTTTTATATTTTATATATTTTTATTTTCATTGAATTTTTTTAATAGTTTAAAAAAAAATTTAATTTCAAGATACATTTAATATGAATAAAATTAAAAATATATGTGTGAGTGATTTTCCGATCACACTGTCCAACTCAGTATTCAGCTGAAGAGAACTGGCAGAATAAATGACACCTGGCTGATCTGCAACAGAAAGAGAAGATTCCGGCGGTGGTTCGTCCACCCGGGGACACTCCGACGATCAAGTCAGTATATCTCTCAAAGATAATCAATAGTGCAAGACTCACTGTACTAAATATAAATTGCGTACCTTAGACCCATCGGGGGTGCCTCTCTTTTATAGTTAACTCAATCATTGTCCCACTAGAAACTTAACTTCAGTGGACTCTTGCTCAGTGCTTATCCTGGACTCTCCAAGAGATAAAGATAAGCTCCCTAAGAGGTTTTATCCTTATCCATGCTAAAGTCCTTCCTTATTCTAGGACTCTTGTCTCTTATCCGCTTATCTCGGATTCTAATATCTTCGAAGGCAACCTCGGTCTTGTCGAGATCACCTCGGTGTCATGTCCTGGACACGTGGCACCTCGGCTGACACGTCGGCGTCACCTTGGCCACGTGTTGGGACTCAGACAATATATCCCTACAATTGCCCCCTAGGTTCTATTACCTCGACATCCTGAGGTGATGGAACCTATATCGGTACTTCCTGCCAGTACATCGGCGTAAGCCGAGATCATCATTATAGGCTGATATGTCTTCTTTAAGATTAAGAATCCCAAGGGCTTCTTCACGCGCATGAGCTGTTTATACATAACAACTCAACCGTTTAAGCCACGTGCCTTCCCCTCACTGGATCGTACTTGTTACGCGCTTGTAAGTCGTCTCGCGCCTTCATGCACCACCTGACGTATTAGTTGTTCTAGGCGCATTAATTGCCTTGTTTTTGCCGCTGTTTCAAGTTTTTTGACAAAACCTGTTTTCCCCCTTTTGTCTTTTCACTTTTCATCATCTTTTTTCAAACTTTTTCTCTCTCTTGCTTTCTCTCATCCTCTATTGTTCTAAGCTCTGAAGCTCTGCCGCCACCGCTGTTTCACTTCTTCCGCGCGAAGTTCTGGCCAACTTGTTCCATTACCGCCGTTCTTCTGACTTCGGCGATCTCAAGCATCGGCTTCTTTTCTCTGGTAAGTCACTACTCCTTCTGTTGGCTTAAGGTTTTTTTTAGTTATTTTAGTCATAAAAAGATAAAATAGACTAAAAAGTTAATAAGACAAAATGTCATATCCAAAATATAACCATTTCAATTTTTTTTATAAAAATTAAAAAAATCAAAAAGTCTATCTCAAACAAGATTTTTAACTCTAGTCTAATAGTCAAAAGTCAACTCACATCACAAACAAAAACTAATTGATGAGTAATTATGAGAATTTAAGGTAGAATGTAACTTAACATGAATGACTTTGGAATCTTAATGGGGTGGAAGAATGTTTTAACAAAAGGGTCAGGCTTTGGTCCAGTCTATCATCGGACTGGATCGTGCTGTTGGGTTCGTGGAGGTCCATCACGGGTCCCGTTTTGAAAATATAAACTGTTGAATGTGTAGAACCCTTCGAGTACTATATGCCTGTAAAAAATCACGTTAATCGGATACTGATAACTATGTGATCAAAACAGTTTTTTGTCAACCGTTAATTTATTCACCGTTTATTTTTATTATTATACAAAACTGATTTGATCACATAACTATCGATATCCGATCAACGTGATTTTTTACAGGCATATAATAATCGAAAAGTCCTACAAATTGAACGGTTCAAATTTTCAAAACGAGACCCGTGGTGACTCCCACGGATCAAACAGCACGATCCAATCCGATGATAGACTGAACCAAAGCCAGACCCTTCTTTAAAAAGCCTTCTCTATGTCTCAAGTGAATTTTTTAATTAAAAAAAAAAAAAGTTAGAGAAGAAACCAAAACTCAAATCTAAGAACACATTTATCACTTAATTAGCACACAAAATATAATATTATTTTTTTAATTTTTATTTATTTAATGCGTGTACCAACCGCAAAACTGAAAAAGTTACAAAATATTGATAACATCTTTGAGCAACCTAGAGAGAAATCAAATAGGAATGGCATTGGAGACACAAGGATAAACGACGGTGACTGGATGAGCCATGATGCGACGGCCCTTAGAGTGGCGAAAGCAGTAAACAAGAGCCCCCACAGGCCATTCCACCACCCCCGCCAGCACGAATGGCAACAATATTAGTGTGGGTCCTACCACCTTGCCCCGACAAGGATTACTTGTACTCCCACACTCTACATATATATATATATACACATATATCGGTATTCCAATACCAGCCATTGACCACCACGCCAACAACAATAATAATAATGATATATAGATGTGAGCGTGGTGGGTGGGGCTCAGAAGTTCAAGAGAATTTGGTGGTTTGGTTTTCTTTTGTTTGTTTGTGAGTGAGGTCAAGTTTGACATCTTTCAAAAAATTTAAAAAGTCAAAAAGTCAATATCCTATTTAAGTCACATCATCTTATTTAAGTCACATCACCTCTCTAACACATCACTTCAAACCCAACCCAAATCCAACCCATATGGCCAACAACAATGCCGATGACATTAACGTCGGCGTAGCCCTCAGTACCGCTCTGCTTCTCCCCGGCGATCTCAACCAAAATGTCGAGTTAAGCGAGTACGAAAACTACGCTCTGATGCTTCAACGCTCCGTTCAAGTAAGCGTCTTTGTCTTGGCAATGTTTTCTTTCTTTTTATTCATTCCATACTTGTAATTTTTTCCAACAACTTCTGTTCTGTTTACTTTCAGGCCATGCAGCATGCCTATTCTTTCTCAATCCAATCTTTTGAGAATCGGGAGAAACTAGCCGAAATGAAGAGGGAGGTCTCCAGTCTTCAAAAGTCCAACAAAAGTTTACAATCAAAAATGAAAAAACTAGAAGACCAGGCCGAGGCTGCCATCAAGGCCCAAAATGATGCCGAAGAAAAGGCAGAGTCTGTTGAGGCCATCAAGAAGGTTCTTGAGACCCAGAAGAGAGAGGCCAAAAAAAAGATGGCCCAGGCCCAGAAGGAGCTTCAAGACGCTCTAGCCACCAAAGAGGCCGAGGTCAAGGCCGCCGACGAGAATGGCTACAACGAAGGGGTGGCCGACGTCACGGCGGATTATGAAAAGCAAGTGAAGCTGGCATGCAACAAGGGTTTCACCCTTGGCTAGATGACCTTGCTGAAAAGGCTTGATGTCCCCGAGGACTCCCCCCTTAAGAATGCCGATGTCCTTCCTCTGCCATTTTCCCCAACTCCAAGCCAAACCGCCGACGACGACTCCGAGTCCGAGGAGGAGGTTCTGGTGAGGAAGTCAAAAGATGTTGCTGGAACCAAGTCTTCTCCTCAAAATGAGCAAGTCCTAGACTTGACTCAGGATGAGGAGGATGAGGAAGTCCCCAAGGATGCTACTCCAGAGAAAGCGTCATCGGACGTTCCCCCTGCCGACAAGAGCCTAGACGAAACCCTTAAAGAAATTGATATTGAACTTGCGGCCGAGAAGGTTGTCGAGATGTCTTCTCAGCAGTCCTCCGAGGTCCAAACCCAGCCTGCTGCTGAAGACTCTTAATTTTGATGTCATTTTCTTCCATCTTTTGTAATTTTACTTTTCTTCTTTTGGGAACAATTGTAAGCTTTTGGCCGACGTGCCTTTTTGGAATATTAATACAACTTTTCTTCCCTGAATGCTTGTATCTTTGTCTTCTATTTACTGCTTTTGCATGATTCTATACTTAGAATATATCTTTAGTATACACTTCAATCTTTGTGCAATCTTCTCGGGATAACACACCTCGGTTATGCAAACTTGTTTAACTTTAACTTGTAAACTTTTCTCAAGTTTCAACAAGTATCATCATCTCGGTTTAACTCTAACTTGTAAACTTTTCGCAAGTTTCAACAAGTGTTAAACATCATATCGGTTTAAACTTGTAAACTTTTCTCAAGTCTCAACAAGTATTAAACATCATATCGGTTTAACTTCAACTTAAATTCACAAGTCTCAACAAGTATTAAACATCATATCGGTTTAACTTCAACTTGTAAACTTTTCTCAAGTTTCAACAAGTATTAAACATCATTTCAGTTTAACTTCAACTTGTAAACTTTTCTCAAGTTTCAACAAGTGTTAAATATCATTTATTCTCTCTGCCCCCTAATGTTAACCTAAGTTCCACTTTGGGTCTCATTATGCATGTATTCCGAAACAACGTTATGTATCTTCATCAGTCACAAATATAGAAGAATTCTGCTAAAATTTTATTCATGACGTCGGCAAATAACAAGGAAAATCTAATGGTAGAAAAACTTCAGATTACAAGTATTCCAGGGTCTTGGCAACTCTTTGCCCTCACTATCTTCAAGCTGATATGCCCCGTTGCCCAATACCGAAGTGATTCTGTAGGGTCCTTCCCAGTTTGGGCCAAGCTTGTCCTCCCTGGGGTCTTTCTTGTTGCCGACGACTTTTCTCAAGACTAGGTCGCCAACTTGGAACTCCCTTGGGTTGACTCTTTTATTATAAGTTTTGGCAAGCTGCTGTTGGTAGGCTGCGAGCTGAATTGCAGCTTTCTCTCTTCTTTCTTCTAATAGGTCCAGATCTCGGGCTAAGAGTACATCGTTAGCCCCATTTTCTACTCCCTGGGTTCTGATCCCAGTGATGCCAACTTCAAGCGGAATGACAGCTTCTGTGCCATAGGTCATGGCAAAGGGGGATTCCCCCGTTGATCTTCTCGGCGTAGTCTGATATGCCCATAGCACATTTGGTAGTTCATCCACCCACTTTCCTTTTACTGCTTGCAGCCTCTTCTTTATCCCATCTAAGATAACTTTGTTGGATGCTTCTGCTTGTCCATTTCTTTGAGGGAAGCTTGGGGTTGAAAAGTAGTTCTTGATCTTGAACTTCACACAGAAGTTCTTGATCAGCTTGCTGTCAAATTGTGTTCCATTGTCAGCAACTATTGCTCTTGGAATCCCAAATCTGGTGATGATGTTCCTCCATAAGAAGTTCTTCACGTCTACATCTCAGATCTTGACTAGGGGCTCAGCTTCTATCCATTTGGTGAAGTAATCTGTTGCTACCAGCAGGTACTTCCGTTGTCCAGTTGCTTGGGGCAGTTGCCTAACGAGATCCATGCCCCATTAGGCAAACGGCCAAGGACTGGATACTGGGTTTAGGTCTGCAGCTGGTTTGTGTATCAACGGTGCAAACCTTTGGCATTTTTCACATCTCTTTACATAGGCTTCTGCATCTTTCTGCATGTAGGGCCACCAATACCCTTGGGTAATGGCCCTATAGGCAAGTGATCTGCGTAGGTTGACATCCTTTCATCTCGGGCTGTAAATTCGTCCGTTGTCTGGTTGACTATGAGCTGGGAGTCACAGAAGACTATCACTTCATCTGCTTCTGCTGCTACCCCAGCTTTAGTCCTGCAATCAATGCTTCATATTCTGCTTCATTGTTTGAGGCCTTGAACCCCAATCGAATGGACTGTTCCAATACGTCTCCATCTGGAGATACCAGTACCACTCCTGCCCCCGCTCCTTGCCGGTTTGAGCTCCCATCGACATACAGGCGAAAGAAGTCGCCGATGTAAATGCTGCAGGGTCTGAGTTTTTCCTTTTTCCTTTGTTCTGTTGCATTTGGCTGGGCTTGTCCTTGCTTGCTTGGACATCGTTCATCTCGGCTTAACGGAGCCCGATGTGCGATGGATTCTGGTGTGAACTCGACCACGAAGTCGGCCAAAACTTGGCCTTTGATTGCTTTTCTGGGTCTGTACTCCAAGTCACGCTGTCCCAAGGCCACTGCCCATCTGGCTATTCTTCTTGTCAAGTCTTCTTGTTGTAGCAAAGACTTCAAGGAGTGTTCAGTTAGTACCACAATTTTATGGGCCTGGAAGTAGTGGTTCAGCTTCTTTGAAGCCATTACTAAAGCCAGTGCCAATTTCTCTAAGGGTGGGCACCTTGTTTCTGCATCGGCCAGGGTTTTGCTTACATAGTAAACAGCCCTTTGCTCCCCTTCTTCTTCCCGGATTACTACCACACTTACTGCGTGTTCTGAAACTGCTAAGTATAGGAACAACTCCTCCCTAGGTTCTGGATTTAAAAGAACTAGAGCTGTGGTCAAATACTTCATCAGGTCGGCCAGGGCGGCCTTGCATTCTTCTATCCATAAGAAATCTGTGGCTTTCTTCACTAAGTTGAAGAAAGGTTTGCACTTGTCTGAGCTTCTGCTTAAGAACCTGTTCAGGGCTGCGGCCTTTCCAGTCAACATTTGTACCTGTTTTGCCGACGTCGGGCTCTTCAATTCCAGGATGGCCTTAATCTGATCTGGGCTGGCCTCAATGCCTCTTTTAGTCACCAGGCATCCTAAAAACTTACCAGATCCTACTCCAAATGCACACTTTGCCACATTGAGTCGGAGCCAATATGTTTTAAGGATGTCAAAGACTGCTTTCAGGTCGGCCAGGTGACCTTCAGGTTCTTTGGTCTTCACGACCATGTCATCGATGTAGACTTCCACCGTTCTGCCAATCAGGTGTTTGAACATCTTGGTTACCAGTCTTTGGTAAGTTGTTTCTGCATTTTTCAACCCGAAAGGCATCACTCTATAGCAGTACAGCCCTTTGGAAGTGATAAATGCAGTCTTCTCTTCATTTGAGGGGTACATGGCTATCTGATGGTACCCCTTGTATGCATCTAGGAAGCTCATCCTTCTATGCCCCGAAGTGGCATCTACCAGCTGGTCAATCTTGGGTAGAGGGAAGCTGTCTTTGGGACAGGCTTTGTTCAGGTTAGTAAAGTCTACGCAAACCCTCCATTTACCGTTCTTTTTCTTCACCACCACTGTGTTTGATAGCCATGTCGGGTAATCTACTTCTCGAATGGCCCTCGCCTCAAGAAGTCTGTCTACTTCCTCCTCCACTGCTTCGACGTGTATCAACATCGGTCTTCTTGCTCGTTGGATTACCGGTTTGGCCGACCTGTCAACGTTCAGCTTATGGCAAGTGACCTCGGGGTCAATGCCAGGCATTTCATAGGACGTCCACGTGAACACCTCAATATTTGCTCTCAGGAAAGCTTCTATCTCTCTTTCTTCTTCTTCGGCTAGGCTCGAGCCGAGAAGAAAGAAGCGTTCCTCATCCCCTTCTTGGACAAGAATTTTCTTCAATGTTTCTTCACTTTTTTCGGCCGGCTCTTTGCCGACATCCTCTAGGACCTCTACGTCCTTGTCTTCAATTTCTGCCTTCTCTGATTTTTGAATGCTGCAGGTGGATTTCATTGCTGCCATGGAG